GCAGCGTACGAGGCGACCTGGTTGAGTTGCAACAAGAGCTCTACAGCCCCAAGGTTCGGCGACGGATACAGAGCCTTGAGGCGCTCGCTACGACACAGCGTTCCAGCAAGCAGCAGCAAAGACAGCAACAGGAGGAAGAGCAGCCAGTAAAGGACATTGTCAAGGAGAGGCTGAAAGTCTTTGAAAGCCAAGCAACATACCAGAGTTCCGTGAAAGAGGCTGTTAAAAGAAGGCCGTACGGCGTATCCGGTTCAAATGGAAATATACACGAAGTGACCAAGTCAAGCAGGAATCCAGACAAGCTAACCAGTTCACACAGAATCACACTCGAGGCCACCGGTTCCTCTGGGAAGCCCGACAAGATAACCCGTTCTGCTAGTGATCGATGCGAGACTGGAAGTGGGGCATCCAGGAATCTATACGATGTGTCTTGTTCGTCGGATATTCAGATGACTACGGCGATACATAACCAGCGTGAGCACCCACCCCTCTGTCATGGGCAGGACATACAGAATGTCTCCGAACACGGTAACACGGATGACCGACGACAGCGGACGACGAAAACGTGTACGCCAATGCGAGCTAAGACAGAAATAAAAGATCAACCTCCACGTGGTGTTGGTGTCAACGTGCGCCCAGGGCACAAGCCGATGACAGCCGCCACACCAGCGAAACCTGCGTGCGCGCAATCACGAGTCCTGTCCTCGGGCGAGAAACTTCCACAACCATCATGCGCTGCACGAACCGACGTAAGAGACGACGCGCCGACGGGTGGCGCCACGGTAGAGAAGAGTGTGAACATCGAACGCATCCGGGAACTGTTCGAGAGGCCGCCCGTCGCCAAGATGGCGTCGCGTCACGTGACAGCTCAACCGCACGAACCAATCGGCTGCAACCCGCAGCAGCAGCGAGCCTTACCACCACGGCATGTAACAGACGAGCGTAGCAGACGCCCCGGTGGATCGAACACGCGCGACCAGACGACGACAAGGCAAACCTCGTGTCTGGTGGGAAGAGAAGCAGGTAGACCTTGGCCAAAAAGAAAACTTCACAGATTGCTAGTGGACGTACGTAAGAGCCGACCCCGCCCACCTAGGATCGGCAAGCAGGCAGCGGCCATGACAGTCGTTGGGTCGTCTGCTGACCTCGCGGTGCGGAAGACAGATTCGGCACATTCCTATGTCGTGCTGCACTACGACGACAGCACGAGCACGGCGTGAGCGCGCCTGCTGCCACCACGCGGCCACCTTGGATGCGGGTGATTCCGTCTGGAAAACGTCTCAACGAGAATGAACAAGTCGTGTAAGACCACCAAAGGCCAGGCTGGAATAACTGTAGCTGTTAGGATAACTGATAGGAAGAACCCGGCGTAGTTAGATCGGTCATATTTGCGCGCAATATCGCTCGGCAATACTCAATACGAGTCCTTCGAGTGATACACACATTGATTTGTCACTTTTATTATATTCAAATATAATAATACATAAGCTTAATTTCTTTCGAAACTTTTTTGTGTGTTTGCGTTTTCTCATGGGTCTCACGAGTCATGATAAGACAAGGCGCGAAGCTGCAGGCTGTTAGAGGCTGACAGGTGCCACTCCAGTCACGGCACGCGCACGAACCGATGACAGCCAACACTCTCACAGGAGTGCACCAACTTGCACGATAAAATAAAACGGACATCTTACTCGTATACCTCTGAGTCGCCCCCCGCGCCGTCATCCGCGCGCTTTGCGCAACACCGTATACATTCACTGTATATGTAGCCCATCGAACATTGCAAGCAGTCAGACGCAGCCACTCAGAGAAGCTGTGTTCCCCAAGCGACGCTTCTTATCTAGCCGAAGCGTCGTCTTGCCACGCAGCGATAGTTCAAAGACGCGCTCTCGCAGACGTCGTCATGTCAGTTGCCAAGGATACCATCGTTTCCCGGTAGCTCCTCGCCACTCGATCTTAATTTGCGGAGTTGACTCGAGTTAAGTCGTGCGACCTATACATGCTAACAGTATGCTGTACACGTGTTGACAATGTAACGTATATATACGCGGAACTGCATGGAGCGTGCAGACCTACATTTATCTATGGTAATGATAACATGGTACACACACGCATATAAACAGAGGTGCAGTTCGGCATCAAATAGTCACGGGTAGCACGAAATACAGGTAGCTAGTAAGCGCTAGACATACTCGGCATCGCACAGGCGTGCAAACAGCAGAATCTAGCCGAACCGCAGAGATGATGAATATAAGTGCTCCCAGCATGTGTGGCGTATATGAAAAGGCATGGTGTGTGCGCGCGGACGTAGAATAGACCGCACACAGTGAGCACGAAACCAATTTCGCGACAGTATTGTATTACCGCGTATCTATTCAACAAAGGTGTAACTATTTACTGTACGTAAACGAACAGCGAGATATCGTGAGGCTTCAGATAGTACATGCGACACCCGTGTGTGCACATCGGCTGCACGGCCGCTGCGACAGCGCTACAAATTTAATGTTTAGTTACTATATAGTGCTGTTCTATCAAGCTTTTGCTATTCCTATTTTTTCGCAGAGTACACGGAAAGCTGTCATTCTCTTCCCGGCAAAGCAATGCTAAGCCTATTAAGTACAGAAGTATCCATGCGGCGTATTAAGTTCCATCGTGTTTTGTTCCCAAATGTAAACATAGAAACAACACACTACGGACGCATTTATTGACAGGATAAATCACAACCTGGCATATTGTAAATCGCTGTCACTCATCGGTGTCCCACGTCAACATTTGTTTGAAAAGCTAATACATAGTGAAGATGTAAACATCAAGCGCTGCATCAAAGCACTCGTGTTAAATTCTTCATCGTAAGCAATTTAAAGATCGTTCTGGTAATCTCAGGCTTGCGTCATTTTAGGCCAATCGATCCAACTTAGACAGTTTGTGACGTCGACAGGTAATTACGATATGATAGCGAGCGGTTGTTGCGACCCTATAGGTATAAATTTTACAAGCAGCGAGATTTCTGTAATCTGGGATTATGGCATCGCTTGCTGTATTAGCACTGCACTTCAGTTGTTGGAAGAACAGGTAATATGACGCTATATATACCCGGTGCTTCTGATATTACTGGCACGGGAAAACAGTATAGTATTAGAAACACACACCTGCTGATTCTACCTTAAATGTTCAATTGACACAATAACTATAATTGCCGTACCTTAGCTTCCCCGTTCGCACCCATACACGCACGTATATTTACGCTAATATACGCTAATATAATGGATGTACATCTAGGCGCACACATGCTCACACACGCACAATCGCAAAATCGCGCAAACACGCTCGCATAAAATTAATACTCGCAAACGCGACACGTGTGCGCGTACGCTGTGTTCGCGGACGGATACATGCGAATTGTGAATAATTGACAAACTTCGCAGGGAAGAGGTGGCATTACATTATAACTCTCTCTACTTGCAATACGGAACACGAAACGTAGTAATTATCCGCTCCGGTTCAGTAACGACGTTGCAACAATTTTCTGCATCTCGCAGGGAGACGGAAATGAGACAGCAGAGTCAGACGTCGACATTCCCGCCCCCCTCCGCCTCCGCCTCCGATGCACGAGGCAGCTGACGCTGTCCGACACACTTGTTTGCCTCATAGACGGAGAGAGCCCGTCGTGTGTGGGTGACGCCCATCGGTGGAAACGCGTCCCCGAGGTGTCCTATAGATCGGAGTGTCTGCTGTTATCCGCAGCGGCTCCCCGTTACTCGCTCGAGTTAAGCCGAAGCCCTATTACGAGCCGCTGCTCCTGCTGCTGCCTCTGCGATATCCGCTTCGGCACCTGCCTGTGTAAACATTGCTAACGAGCCACGCTGGCCGGCTGTCTTCGCTGTCGCCGGTTTCCTAGTCACGCGAAGCCGCGTCGCGATAGCTGCTGCATCCTGCGCGGCGGCGCCGCTCCTCACCCACCTCCTATTTTTCGTCCACAGCATCGGGGAGCGGCGTCGTGCCGTTGCGAAGCAGGGTAACGGGAGCGACACTCGGCTGACGACGGCTACGGGAGCTGTGCACGACGTAGAAGGAACGGGCCGAGTGGCTGAGGTCCGAGGCAAGGCAAACCGAGGAGAAAGGGCCGAGTGTCGTTATAAATAGTGCTGACCGCCGAGTGAGCCCGTCATTCGCCACCCTGATCGATGCAGACGGTTTCTCCTGCACGACAAGTGAACATTACGCAGCGTATGCAGCTGCCGTTGAATTAATGATAGCGTACATGTACACGTGTTCGCGTGCTTCGTGGGTTACCAGGGGTTCTGTCAGTATCTACAACGCCTCGGAGTTTCACGAACCCATCTCATTTCTCTTTACATATGTATACTAAAACGAAATAGCCTCGATTATCAGACTGGTGAGAAACAACAATTAGCATGAATAGATGTTGGAAGCTTACAGTATTTGGCCTTTGGAAAATTCTTAACAGATATTCTCAAGAACTAGTAAACTTAATTAGAAGAAAGCCAGCTCTTGATTATAAATCAGAGAAGTTTGTCAGTGTGTACGTATAAATGTATATTATGTTTATTCTGTATATCAAGGATGATATACCTGATGATTCATTTCTGAAATGACCATTATTCAATTAATGTTGATGCTGCCTTCATGCGCACTAAGAATCTGAGTGAATTGCATGGCAATTGTGTTTGTATATGTATGCAACGTAAAAATAAAAGTGAATTGTTGTGAAAGTGAGATTTTATATTTCATCAACATAGCTTACATCACTGGTGGTAAAAAATACTATGGATCATATATGCTCAGAACTATAAACTTCAAAAATATTCAGTATAAGATACAACTACAAAAATATATACTAAGGTTACATATAAATACATATGTGCGCATGCACGCACGCGCACACGCACGCACGCACACGCACGCACACACGCACAAACACGCACGCACGCACGCACGCACGCACGCACGCACGCACGCACGCACGCACGCACGCACGCACACACACACACATACACTTATATTCATGAGAAATACAGATTTTTTAAATTATGAAGACACAAAGGTAAAAAAAAGGATCATTCGTGAGATCTGGTCTAATTCTATCACATAAAAATACATAGAAACGACTCGATGTAGTAGATATACTGTGTGCCCACTGATGTGATTGCCTGCTGGGTTTTGTTTTTTCCTTTTCTCAGGTTAACCATGCTCCCAGGATAGATGTCTGTCTGCACGCTGCCTCCTATCTTGTGAATCCTGGTCTCCCACGGCTTCCTGCCTTTTGCTAATTTACAGCCATCAGTGCAGCAGCAGCCGGGGAGCAGTAAATGCATCACAACTCGAGTTGCTAAGTCACTGCTCGATTGCTTGCGCACAGTGGTTCGAGTCAATATGTACCTGCATACATTGGGTAAATGTCAGTGCAATTACCAAGCCATAGAAAGGAGGGCAAAAGGATCAGAGTCACAGAAAGTCCACCCAAAGGAGGCTGCCAATGAGCATAATATCGAGTTATAGTCCATGAGAAGGGTTGAGTGAGGGTGGCAGCTGGTTAGAGGAAAAGCAACCAATGCTGACACCTCATGCGTACACACTCCCTCACACATCTCACACACTAAACAGTTGCTCACTGTGACAAGTCAAAAAAAAGTTATCATTACTATTATCATCTTTATTGCATAATATCAGGGCTACCGCTGGCATTCGCGACCTTCGTAAAATGTGATGAATAAATAACAGTAGCAATTTTACTACATTAAGTGGTGAATGCAATATTCAAATGATTTAACCGCTTACAAATTTATAATTGAATAATAAAGTTGTCAAATCGCAGTGTCGTGTAAGTACTAACAAATTCCGAAACCTAGTCATATTTTAAACTTACCTTTATATACTTATAAAACAACCTAGTTTTGTGTAGACTAAACTACATTATTATATTTTTACTTGATTACTTTCATAAAAATGTTTTCATACACCTCTTTTCCCATACCCATCACCTGTTTATGCATTGCTTAGCACATATGATAAAGTGAACAGTGGCTATAGTTTTTCATTGGTGGCTAAAAAATCACTTTAGTGGCTCAAGTCTTGGCTCAAACCTTAAAACATCCAGAAGGAGCCCTGTAATATGGTCATTGACGTGCATATCGTGTCTACTGGAATGAGTGAGAGAATACATACCGTACGTCCACGAGGTAACCTTCTGACTTTCTTGGCTCGATGAGGTCACAGTGCCCGGTGTGATGGGCTGAGTAACTAGCCACCTCACTTCCACAGTCAGTGACCCAGCTCCACTAGAGCGAGCCACCAGCGTTCAGTCTTATGGTGCGAGAATCCTCACTCCCAAATGGTCAGCACGCCACTTTCACTCGAGGATGCCACGGTTGCCGGCAGGACGGGATGGAAGGCGACACCGACGCAAGGGTCTGACGCGTCGTACGCCTGAACCGAGTGACGGACAGAATTGGACGCATAGTGGTAGTAGTGTACGAGTCCATCGCAGCTTCCAGACACGACATAGTTGCCGTCGCGACTAAAGTCGCACTTTATAGGGTAGGAGTGAACCTGCAGCAGATGAATGCAATGCATATATATAGCTCTCCACTCCAACTGCACTCGACGACGGCACATTTACCGCAAGTCAGGGGTGAATAATGACAGATTCGCAGTCACTATTCACCCCTGATGCAGTCGACAGCAATCAGTGCAAGCATCGACCAAGTATAAGACGTACGGGATCACAAACAAAATTAATTGCCAATAATGTAATTTCAGTGACTACTGACTCTCGCTAAGTTCACTCACATGATGGCCACTTAGGCGCTTGTAGGGGTTCATTTTGTACGGTCGCAGAGTAGAGAATGAGGCTATGTAGTCACCACTTGTCTGTGCGATGAACTCTTTTCCATTAGGATGCACTCGCAGACATAGACAACCATACTTCTCCTGCACGTATTAAAGTGTTTTTTTCTCCTTCACACAGTTATCAACTAGATACATAAAGTAGCATGGATACTTACTATGAATTCAGAACTCGTGTCCTGCCTGACATATTGTGGCAATATGCATGGAGAAACTACATGCCACCATCAGTTACCATGCCAAGCTCTCAACCATATAAAACTGATATAGTGAACACAGCTTTGGGTAAGGTTTTCCCTTACATAATTTTCACAAATAAATCATGACATTGCCACTGTATTTTTAACTCGTGCTTATTACTCGTGCTACGAATAATATTTAAAAATAGCCACCCTGTCTGTAGCATAATGCAACCTTACATGAAAGATTTGATGGCTTATGCGTGCACCACTCCCAAGGTCCCATACCATGATGGCTACGTCTGCACTGTTCTGGTGTATCTCATCTCCACAACACAGAAACTCTGCACCTCCTGGTAGGAACTCTATGTCCTGGATCTGCAAATAGGTAGATAGGGTTAGGGTATATATATAAGTGTAAGCGTGCAACAGTGCAGCCGCGAGAGCAATGGCCACCGGCAGCGTATGTTGGACATAGGATTTGGACGGAATTTACAGGAAACTGTCGGCAATAATAGGTGAAAGAGAGTATAGAAACATTAAGAATTTGGTAGATGGTAAATAGATTTCGTATTTAGTTAGCATTATATTTTATTGAAACGCTTCAAGTGCCTGTGACAGTGATGTTTACACATCCAGGACACAGCGGAGCGATCTGCTTGATTCAGTAACAGTTCCTTTCTATTATAAAACAAGTTATAATTCATTATTCGATGTTTATTCAGTACAAAATTGTAAAATTTGTTTAAATCATATATCGTTATCTACATTACTTATGCAACCAGGAAACAAATATAGTGTTTTCGTTCCAGGAACTATTTGCGCTATGGCGTATGGATACTATTTTGCGCCATCTGGCGTTACTTGCGTACACAGAAGTTTTCAAAATAGCTAACTTCAGAGCACATTTCTGGCTCAATGAGAACATTTCGTGATGTTTCCACACTACAAGTATGCTCACAGCATTTTGTTGTGAGGTCTATCTATTTTAAAATAGACTTTGAACAATAGTATTCCTTATGTCAGCATTGCAAGAAGCATGAAACAATGACACCACCCACGACAAACCCTGACAACAAAGCAGGTTTAAGTATTTCTCACTGATGTTGAACAGAAACTCCATGGCATGTAGAATGAAAGTGTCAATGACACTGTAGCTCACCTTGGGTGTGATAGAATAGGGAGGGGGATATATAAAGCAAGAGTATATATGGGAGAACTCCCATTATATAGCATATCGCCCATTATATACTCTTGATAATGATATATGCATAAGTTTTGATGCGAAAATAAATGTTTCAGATCTGAATGTCTGAAATCTTGACGAGAGATGGCGCTACGCCTAAATGATCGCCATTTTAGTTTTCAAATATCGTGCAAATAAAAACAATAAAATATTCCAGTCAAATTACTGTAACGAAGAATCTAAAACACAATATTACACGTATATAGGTAATACGTATGATTGTATAATTGTTAACAAGTTAGACGAAATAAACGTAATAGGATGTTGTCATCTCTCCCATAGCCATAGGAGTAACAACTGTTTTGGGGCTAGCCTTACACATTCACATACCAAAATTTAACAAAATCGAATGAATCTAGATGGGCATTTCCATTTTTGCCAAAAAGTGGGCGTGGCTCAAAAGTAGGTCGACTGGCGTGCTCCAAAATAGGACGCTAAAATCTCTCCCATAGGAGTAACAAATGTATGCAATTTGAAACATGTGGGTCAAACGCAGGCTTTCAGATTTGAAAAGTACAGGAGGACTACTAATGACTCCCCTAGGACACCATAGGGGGGTCTTTTCACACTCCATAATCACACCCTTAAAAGGCATGATGGAGAGCTCCACTAAAAAATCACACCCTTAAGAGACATGATGGAGAGCTCCACTAAAAATCACACCCTTAAAAGGGATGATGGAGAGCTCCTTGAGGGCTCTCCATCAGCCTCAGGCCTCTTGGGGTGTGATGATGGAATCATGACCAATCCTCAGTCTAGAGTGAAATCCAAAACGAAAATTGGGATTACATGTCAATCCACTGATTATCATTCAATGGCTTCGTCATGATTACATAATTTCAACCACTTTTATGAGGCGCGATGATGCACGCACCATGGCACAATTTCCGGGTGCGCGGTGGAGTGCGAGCGCGATCGCGCCCTTTAAAAATGAAAGCCTGCAAACGGTTCTTGAGTTATCGTTGGCCGTAGGCAGACACTAAAATGCATAGTGAAATTGCCAAAATCTACATAATTTGCATAATTAAAAAAAAAATCAAAACCTGTGTGATATGTTTTGGGGGCAGTCCTCATTCATTCACATACCAGAAATGAGCAAAATCCGTTGAACCTGAACTGACTTATGGCCATTTCCATTTTTTCCAAAAAGTGGACGTGGCACGAAAGTAGGTCGACTGGCGTGCTCCAAAATAGGACATTCAAACCTCTCCCATATGAAAGGAGTAACAACCATATATGCAATTTGAAACATGTGAGTCAAACGGTTCTTGAGTTATCGTTGACCGTAGCCAAATGTTGACGGACGGACGTACGACACCCCATTGCAATAGCTCATCTTGACGATGTCAAGGCAAGCTAATAAACAAAGCCAAATTGAAATAAAATTATGCTAAAAGCCCAATTAGAGGTTCCCTTCAATCACTACATAGATTACCAGGTACACATTTTGCTCACTGCATCTGTACAAAATCAAAGACTGCAGATAACTGCAGTAATCTATAGTTACCCTTCCAAACTTGGCTTTATTGGTTCTGATCGGTCTGTCTGCGCTTACACGAACGTCCCAAGTTAAAATGGAATCTGGAATCGCTGTGATAATTATGTTGTCATCATTCGGTGGCCGCTGCACACATGTGACAATATTAGCATGCTGGAAGACATTTTGTGGTGTACCTGAAATGTTCAAAACATTACCAAACATTGTCGAGGAACTTAAACCACTAATATGTACTAGTAAGGTTTTGCACGCACAATTAATTTTTATGTACACATAAATCTTTACTTATAAGTTGGTGTGCAGAAAACGCTTGTGTAAACTTTCAAATTATTATCAATCACTTTTACTCATTTATTAAAGCCGCAATATGCGCATCCAAACGCTAATTTCTCCAGTACTAAACTAGCAAATACTTCGTGTCATGCATAATCAACTACCTTATGACAAAATAAACTCTAGTTCCTCCCATTTCACTGCGCGTTGTCTTATAAAAGCAGTGCTCGAAATAAGCGTTGTCCGGTTGTCCGAGACAACCAGAGTTTGCGCCGGACAACCTAACCAGTCTGAGACATTGTCCGGTGGACAACCAAGAAAAATGTGACGAAAAACGCACTTTATTTATGTTTTTCTCAGGGGTTCTCCAAGAGCACTTATAGCCTGGTGGCCGGCCATTAATCTATGGTGTGGGAAAGCGACGCATACCAGCTGCTATTTCCAACACTGGTATATGTCAGGTTTTACCAGCAAGTTCACCCCTACATTTTGGTATTTTTATTCCATTATTATTTTGAATTTTCCGATGGCTTTGTCCATGCAAAACAAACAACAGTGGGGATTCATGTTGATCCGAAAGTTTAAAAAAAAGAGAATTGTCTTAGTCAGAATGAAGGCTGTACATGTACTCAAAAGTGCCGCAAATACTATCTCCTGCGATCTACATTTTCAAAATTTTCTGGGGGAGGACCCCCATACCCCCCACTTGTTTTCACCCCCTCTTTGGAATCCTAGATCTGCCACTGAACAATCACATATCTTGGGAGCAGAGAACAATGAACAAAAATGTCGCCTTTTCGCATGGCACCCAAAACAAAGATTGCAGAGAAGGTAGAGGAGCCGTAGGCTGTGGAGAGGGAGGCGGAAGAGCCATTAAAATATTAAGTCATCCACTATTGTGCGCAGTTTGCTGTTTTTGGCCCCCTTGTTAAAAAATCCTGGCTACACCACTGTTTTTGGGTGTTTTCTGACCATATTTATGATATTATTATGTAATTGAAAATAGGAGGTTTGGTGATATTTTTTTGGGACAACCAGAAATTGTTGCGGACAACCCGATTTGATGCCTGGGTTGTCCGCAGGACAACCACATTTTTTTTCTTATTTCGAGCACTGAAAAGGTATTTGAAAATACCTCCAATGTTGTTCAAATTCTCCGATGTTGTTGACACGTTCGCGTTGTTCTGCCAAGCAACCGTACAGCGGGTGCAAGCGGGTGTGACGTCACCTAACCAATTCGGGGCTAAATTGTTTGGCAAACAATTCGGCGTTGGCGCCAGATTGCCAGATTTCGCACCTCTTTCTTGTTTTAAGCAAACGCGCAGTGAAATGAGAGGAACTATTTTATCTTGTCATAAGGTAGTGTGATTATGCATGACATGAAGTATTTGCTAGTCTAGTACTGGAGAAATTAGCGTTTGGATGCGCTATTGCGGCTTTTATTAATTTTACCAACCTGTTTCAACATTAGTAACCTGGGCTGTTTTGTCAAAGCTTCCACTCAATATATACTTCCCACACCAGCTCCATACAGCTCCTGCCTTCAGTGAGCCTGAATGACTGGCAATGTCTTGTACGCATTTTCTTGTAACGATGTCCCACACCTTCACCTAAATAAGAGATGTTCGTTTCACATACTATAACCAGCCATGTACGCAATCAAGAAAACTTTCAACATTCACTGCAACCAACAGCAGTAATACCAAACGTACATGTCCATCCATTGAAGTGGAAGCAAGAAGGTGACTCCAATCCAGTCTCTTGCACCAGGAGATGCTTCCAATCATCTTAGCATGTGCTCTTACTTGAAATGCCTGCTGCCTCGGCAGCATATCTCTTGAATTGTTATCGATACAAGCCAGTATCTCCGGGTATGGTGCAAAGTGCCTACAGATCGAGTTCTCTGGAACCTTTAATACTTCTCTATTTACTCTCTGCCTTTTCGATGAATACGGGCGGATGACAGGAGTGGTAGACTGGCTGTGAAGTGACTGTGTAGTTCGTGTCGTGAACTGATCCACAATGAAAGAATTGATAGAATCTCTGTGAACGGTGGAGCTGCCCGACGTATGCAAGGTTGAGGTTTGTCTTTCAGAATTACCTAGCAAGTCTCTTACAGAAGGTAAAGTACTACTCGTACCTGTTGTGCTGATTATCTGGTCTAGTTTACAATGGCCTCTGTCAGTGACAGTGGTACCTGACTGACCGTAATTACAACGTTTGTTACCCAAGGCTACTTTAGTAAAACTCGTTGATCGTTTTGGAATACTGTGAGACATAGATGCTAGCCGAACACTGCTTGGCATCTGCTTTTCCAATAAGTGAATGGGTGATGGTAGCTTCTTACAATCATTTTGCTTAACAGCCGAATCACAACCGAGTGACATCTCAGCAGTTGAAATATCACTGGAAAGCGAGTTTGTAAGTATTTCACTAGTATTTGTAATACAGTTACTAACTGTAACGTGATCATTTATAACTAACTCGGATGGAGGAATATACGAGTGTCTCTCCTCGTATTCACTTTCCTCAAGTTCCTCTGAATCTGAGCTGTCCGTATAAGACACAAGTGACAGTGTATTATGCCGAATGTGGGTGTTCCTGCCTGGACGGTCGCAATGTTTATTCCGTTCATCTTCCATGGCGTCCCGCTCCTGCTATAGGCGCCATCTACAGGCTCAGAATATGGAAACTATGGAATAACGCCGCGGCTGGAGCATGTACGTACTCTCGGATACAAGAGTAGGACTTTTATATGCGTCAGCCATCTGAAATGTTGCAAGCAGCAATAGAATGCATGTGTGCATGAATAATTACCTAATGAGTAAATAAATAAATAAAAGACTGTATATAATGTATACGTGGATAATTACTTGTCTGAATAAATAAATAAGCCTTATATATACATCAAGATAGTTAATAATACCTTATTATATTAGCTCTTGATACACACACACACGCACACACACGCACACGCACACGCACACGACACACACACACACACACACACACACACACACACACACACACACACACACACACACACACACA